CTTGTAAAATAAATTATGAAAATTTGGAAGAAAAAAATGTTTGTAGAAAAAGTAGTTAATAAATTTATAAATGTGAATCGATGTTAAATAAAAATATAATCATTAATATATAAAAATAATAAAATATTAACTTAATAAATAAAGTTGATACAATATTTAAAATTGATAGTTAGATTAGAATATATCTCCTGATTTAAATGACAAATCATTTATTATCTGACATTTATTTGACAGTGAATAGCTGATTATACTAACGGATAACAGATTGTATTATTTGTTTGATAGCATATTCAATTAATGGTTTGTTAAATAAGCATTTAATAAATAGTAAAAAAATTTATAGTTTCTTAAGTTTATTGCTATTTCTTAGAATCCTCTCTTTCTAAAACGTTGATCTTTTGTGCCTTTCCAAATTATTGTTTTGCTTTCAAAATGCTGATCACATAAGTCCGTTACCAAATAAGCCAACTAACGAATTTGATTGATCAAACTTCCAATTAATGAAGTCTAATTGATTAACACTTATACGATAATAAACAAACCAACCCCAAGATCACATGATAAACCTCCAATTAATGAAGTCTAATTCATTAACTTAACACTAAATACGCTAATAAACAAACCAACCCCAAGATCACGAAATGCATATTGAAAGAACCCAAGAGCTGAGTCGGTGGCATAGTAAAAGCGTAAACGAACGGGAGAATTGAGATAGAACTCTTGTATTTTTTTTAATTCAATCAAAATCATATTCCTTCAAACAATAAAATGCGGGTCTTAAATAGAACTCCTAAGAGACCTACTCACCATAAACTCAAGACTCCTAAGAAATCTCTAATTAAATAACTTCTCTACCAAGTAAAAGACTAAAATAATTAAATAACATTCCTACCAAGTAAAAGGCTAGAATAATTAAATACCTTAAATAATAATAAAATAAAAATAATCTATACTAATATAAAAAGGTTGTTGGAAAAATACATAAATAGTAATTTTGACTTTTTAATTAAATGTTTGACTTACTATTATAAGAAATATTTTTAAAAACACATTAGATTAGGAAAAAAAGGAGAAAATTAATTTCATACACTTTTTAGGAAAAAACGGATGCATATTTTAAAAATAGATATTACCTTATCCTTTTTCGTTTTTCTTAATTAACCACTTTTTCAATCATTTGGTGAATAAATTTAAAATTAATTTTCTTGGTAAAATTATCGGTGCATCTTTTCTAATGGTTTGTTGAACGATCTCATTTCCCACACAATTTGGGCAAAATCCGATTCTCACTATACTTTCAAAATAATATATTTATCTATTCATAGAAAACTCGATTTTCAAAATGAGATTAGAGTTTTGGTGAATAATTCCGATAAGATTTATTTGGTAAAAACGCGTGAATATACCATGATAATCTGTATTTTTTGTAGCATCCTATTCGTGTTTACATCCAAAAAAATATTTAACAAAATTTGCAATTAGGAGCAAATATTATATTTTAAAACATCTATAACATATTCTTTATGACATTCAATTTAGGCAAATATAATATTTAAGTTTGAGTAAGAATAATTTCAATTCAAATAACGCATCAATACAGTCTAAACTGGAAATGTATAATAATATAAAAAATAATTTGATATGGAAATGCATCAATACAACCAAAATATTGAAAAATTTTCTTGATTTTATATGGCAATATATCATTCCAATATTCACCATAAGTTAATGCAAATATGAAAAAATATTATCAAATATACTTATCTATTATTTAATTAGAAATTTTAATTTATAAATAGTAGTAAATATTTCTTACCCGTGCATCGCAAGGAATTCGTACTAGTATATAATTAAACTAATGATGTTATGACACGATTTGACAAAAAGGTAGCGACGAGCCGCGACGAAATATGAATAAAGGTGCTGCAACGGGCAGCATAGGGGCACATGACATACGAGTGACGACAAAAAACAAAAATTGACGACGGCCGGAACGGATTAGAGTACACGAACCCTAACCCCGACAAGTGGTGGATCTGAAAAAGGGGCAAAACGGACACCAAAACCTCCCAAAACACATAAATAAGAACACTGGTAGCACGAGCACCAAATTCCGACTTCACGGATGTTTGCCCGAAAAAAATTCCAGTGAGCCATGCGCCCTCATGCGACGGCACGTGGGATGGACGGCAGAAACTTTCGACCGCGTGTGTGGCTCACACGTGCGGCTTCTGACGACGAAACTTGGCCGGAAGGTTTGTCTTGAGACGGCGATTTGACTGGGGTAGGAGGTGAGATCAAAAAAAATATTTATGTGTAAGGCTGTGATACAAGTGAGAGGATGCCCATATATATAGACTTAGGGCCTTAAGTATATATGGGTTGGGCCTATAATAGTTAATAGTCCGCTGCATCATTTCGTTTGGACGGCTAGGCGTAGGAATCATATTGGTCTACTGATATCAATTGACGTAGCAAAAATGTAAACGAACAGGAGAATTGAGAGAGCTCTCGTATTTTCTTAATTCAGTCAAAATTAGCTCGCCTTCAAACAATAAAATAGAGGTCTTAAATAGAACTCCTAAGAAACCTACTTATCACAAACTTAGAACTATATTCTCTCTTACCAAGTAAAAAGCTAAAATAATTAAATAATTTCCAACCAATCAAGTAAAAGTCTAGAATAATTAAATACCTTAAATAACAATAAAACAAAAGAAATAAATAATTAACCTAATGATTTCAAATGATAATGTTTGTCCAGAAATGTCAACGCAATCTCGTCTCCATAGGTCTGTCTTCTATCAAAATTACAAATAGTAAAATAAAATTTCACACCTAATAATTTCACAAAATATATTCAACGCCCAGCAGAAAACACAAATCAAAATTTATGATTTCCACTTAGCAATGTAGATCTTAGTCCACCATATAAAAAATACTTGAAAGTTGAATTACACAATATAGTGCAGGCTCAAACTCAAAGACTCCTAGCCACTGGGATACATGGACACCTCATGTATCATGAATCCACACCAATCCAAACATTCAAACATAGCAACATCAAACAGGTGACAGTGTATCAGCATGACAAACAACATTATGCCAATTATACCCCCACCTATCCCTGTCATCCCCGAAATACGCCGCCACTCTCCAGGCGCCGGTCGCCGGATCATAACACCCAATCCTATTCGGCACCGACAAAATCAACTCAAGCCCACGACCATCTTCTTTCCGAACCAAACCCAAAACCGAGCAAGTGTAGTACCTTCCAACCTTAAACCCATCGTAAATCCCTTCCAGAACCGAGCATGCATCGATGTATTGTACCATCTCGGGGAACGTCGATTGCAGTGCAGAGAGCCCTACCCGGAACAACATTACCCACCCAGAACCATCGTCCAAGAGCTCGTATATAACGATCGACGAATCCCGAGTGACATTTGTCTCAATATCCACCAAATGTAAGTATCCACCTGATTCCCCCATGTACCACGATCTTTTCGTGGTCACGACCTCACTCTGCACAGGTGGCATTTGTAGCGAGTTTACGGTTTCACTCTCGACGTCGAAATACAACGAGTCGTCATCCTCCGAGTCGAAGTAGTGGACCCGTTTATTCCAATAAACTCCACCCTGGAAAAGCATCCCGGCTCGAAAACTTAAGAACGGGCCCTGACAGGTCTTCCAGGAGCCCGTCTCGGAAAAGAAGACCTGGATTTCAAAATCGGGCCCGAGGGGCGGGCTGCAGTGGCGGATGCAGATGACTTTGTAATTCGGTGAGTCTTGGGGGTTGAAGGCTAAATCCATGTTGACTATGGGCTTTTTCGCGAGATTTTCGAGTCGAGGGAGAGGGTTCGATTTTTTTGTTGCAGGATTGCAGACTGTGTAAATAAGGTCGACATTGTTTCCGGGGGGTGCGACTAAGAGGCATAATAGTAAACCGTTGCACGAGCTCAGAATTGTTACATAGGTGAAACAAGTCGGGATTTTCAAGAAATCGAACACGGGAAGAGGCCCGAAGCTCTGCCCGAGATGGCGATTTTCGGTGAGGGAGATCAGTGTTAGCTGTGGGAAATGGTGCAAGATGAGCCCGGAAGATGAAGGGATTGGGTTTCGAAGGGTGTGGTTTTTGGAGAAGTAATGGCTGGAAATGAGACTGAGCCATTGGGTCGAGACACATTTGAATCGGAATAGAGATTTTATGGGCAGAGGAAGAAGGATTCGGGTTAGGAGGTCTTCATTGGAAGCGATTATCTCAGCAGATTTCTTCATTTTTTTTTTTTTTTTTTNGGGGAAGTGAAAATCAAGATTGTGATGGTGAAAGATGGAATGAATGGAAATGAACAGCAAAGCCTGGGAATTTATAAGTGTATTCAGGTCTTGCATGATAAGACACAATTAGGCAGAGAGATTTCCTATTTTACTTTGTGTATTACATACACACTACAAAGGATTATTGATATTTTAAATGATAAACCCGTATTTATTTCTTTGAAAATTATTGGTAGAATCGTATTTATTTGTTTGAAAATTATTGACATTCGATCTCTAAAATGTACAAATATATAAAAGTATAGAATAATATTATATAATTACCTGGATAGGCGGTGGCTGTATTGATTATGAAATGGAGATGACAATAATCAAATACCAAAAGCCTGGAGAATTCACCGTAATTCAGGCATAATAACATGTTTATTATGTAAATTCTATGAATCTTGATTTTGTGGATAGTGTGAATGTAATATATGATCAGTGGATGTCTGCAATAATATGACTGAGCTGTTAGCAGTTTTAAGGTATTTCGAAATCTGCATTGTCTTATTTGAATTAAAGGACAACTTTTTCCTAAATGCTGACAATTGAGTCGTACCAATTCGCCCAAAAAAATAATCATTTTCCGGACTTTTACTAATATTCTAACAATATTAGCATCATGTCTAAGTAATCAGATATGACAGTGATTGTAATGCAATGCAATGCAAAAAAGTAGATGAATTTATGGACCTTTTTTAACCAAATCTTAAAATTTCCTGAGTTAAATTACAATTTGCTGAATCATAAAGTATAATATAAATCAAATTAGCTCAATTAATGTAGCTTTAATGAAACAATTAATAAATAAAAATCTCAGCTAGATTTCAAATACTAGAAATCTTACTCCTTTTGGAGTAACTCTGACCTTGGTTCAATCTTCAAACAATCTCCGAGTTCTGCAAAACAGGATTGCATTTTCAAGCTGTGAAAACTGCAGATTTATCATTTTCCTGTTGACCGAACTCCTGAATTCTGGCACAAATTTTCTCCAGAAGACGACGACAGATGTCTGGAGAAGTGCACGGCCCACACATGGCATAAATGACATTACCCAGTGGCCTCATGTAAACACCATCTTCACGGAGCTTCTTTACAAGGGAGCTGGCGTAAGTCGAACCATACCTGTTTTTTTTTTTTTTTTTAATATGAAAATGTTGTTTAGATACTTTACTATCAAGAATCAAATTCTGTCACACGAGTACAAATGACATAATATCTTACTACCCATCAGGTTTAGCTTAATTAAATAAAATTTATTACTTGACATTTATGTTTTCATCCTGCAATAATTGACATAATTGTGTATGTACTCTGTAGAGCTGTAAACGAGCCGAACCACGCCGAGCTCGTTAACTAATCAACCCGATAACAAGCTCAAGCTCAGCTCAAACTCGAGCCTTAACGAGTCAAGCTATTCTGACAGTTCAGAAAATTACACAAAACCCCTATTTCTCAAGCCTTAACGCTGTTAAACGAGCTCAGCTCGGCTTGTTTATCAAACAAGTCGATCCAAACTCGAGCCTTAACGAGCCAAGCCCACGAGTGGCTCTGTTTGTTTAGCATTTTTTGGCCTAACGCAAGAAGACAACAAACTATACTTTTTTGCATCCTTTGGAGACTTCCAAACATTATGAAATAGAACAAGTGCAAGTACTTACCCAGCATTAGAGCCTTCAGCTACAAGTTCAACGGCACAAAGAGTTCCTAGGGCCACCACTCTACTAACTGCCGGAAGTAATGAGATCTGGAACACTAGCTCTGCGTCCCATAACTGCAAAACAAGAAAAGAAAAATAAAACATATAAAATAACATAAACAATGTTCCATAAGCATAGCACTCGTGAATGCTACAAATTAGAGTAATCTGACATCAAAATCACGATTGATTTGCTCATATTTCCACTAATATTAAAATAATGATGATGATTATAATAATAATAAATTATCTTAACATGTCTCCTTCCTAAATAGTGACTACAAAAGAATGGAAGCATTTTCAGTTCATTATTCTCAATATCCATGGTAAAAGTCTGATCAGAAGGTGAGCATCATCTACTGTTACTAAGTAGCATCAGAAGAATAGCGTTGATTAGATCATAACTACAATTACATCCCAAAAGGACTTCCTTTGCCATGGGAGACATAGGAAGCTCAATTTTTTCCATTTCACAACAGTGCTCATATACAGAATTGGTGGAGTATGTCAAACACGATTTAGTAACTTGCAACATCACTGAATCATTTCTGATAATAATCAAACACTACATTTTGTAGTGTATAGAAAGACCCTAACCACCATAAGGCAGGGATAATAATGATGAAAGATAATCACATTGGATGAATCTGCTATAGGATTAAAAGTGATAAGCAGAAAGTGCTTTTTCTCATGATTGATAGAAAATAAAGTAACATTATCATACATATTAGATCCAAAAGAGAAACAAATAAACAGATAATTAGATATATAACTCTTTTCCTGAGTCAAGACATGTTTGAAATATTGAAATCCTAGTACTATTAGAACAAGCTCATACTTCAACTAATAATAACAAACTCAGATAGATAAAGGCAACCGCAAAGTAACACTATGAGCTTGCTTGTAGAATAATATTCACCTCCTTCAGCATTCTTGAGTCAGGTATTATATTTGTGTTTGTCTTATGGTCTTTAAACCATTTCACAGACTTCACACCAGCAGCACATCCCATTGCATGTGCAGAATATGAGTGCCCATGCAAAAGAGCCTTTAGCTGAAAGTACAATGGAGATATTAGTATTAAGCATTGAAATGTATCCATTCAGCTCAGCCATATAATTGTAAACAACGGTAAATATCTATAACTTAATTGATGGTTTAAAGCTAGCTAAATTGCTCAAGACAATGGTCACGTTAAGAGGCAAGAAAGATATATACTGTCACTGCTGCCAGATGGTAGCAAAAGAGAGAAGAAATAAGAAGTGTAATAAGCTTGATGTGACCATTGCCGTTGAAATGAAGAAATAGATGATGGCTTTACAGTACTTTTGCTCATTTCTTGAGAATAGAACATAAATGCATGTAATATTCAAGATGCCAAAAAAGACTGGCGAGCAGACAAAATTCATAATAATACATGAAATATTCCAGAAATTCCAATGACATAATAACGCATGTGGGTGAATATTCAATTCGAAGTCAATTTGGATCTTGGATATTCTGCATTGACTAAAATATTCCAGGGAAATTGAGATATTATATACCAGTGAGATGAAAATGGCTGCTCAAACTTGATCCATTTACAGGAAAAGGTCAACTATAAATTACCCTTCATTTAGATCTTATATGACTCGTAACTATGTGATTCTTTTAACATAAAAATTTCATCCAGTTGTACCACCATTTTCTTAAATGATACACAGCCATCACAATACACTTTTTAGGCAAGGTTAATTAACTAGTAATCACCTTAGAATCTCCAGTGAATGCATCAAAAACATTATCTGGTGCCAATGTAGCAGCCAAGGGTATGATGCCACCAGTCATCAGCTTAGCATAACAGGCAATATCCGGCTGGCAGCTGAGTATTTCTGCTGCGGACTGAACGAAAAGTTTTGCACTTCACATAACAGCAAAAGATGAATAGAAAAGGATACTGCAATTGAAAAGTTTTGTGGAAAATTACTAACCTCTCGTCCAAGGCGCCAGAATCCTGTAAAGACTTCATCGAATATAACAGGAATTTTACGACTTTTGCATTCCCTCACAAGTATGCGCTGATACAGTGGATCGATCATTTCCATTCCACCAGCACCCTGTACCACTGTAGTTTATTGCAACAAAAAACATGAAACATTTGCTTGTTCTTTATAAGAACACAAAAATAATATTTGAAAAAAGAAATATTTATTTCCATTACGAATTTTCTTAACTTGCTAAAAGAATCTAACAGTTCAGAAGTATAAATTTTGAAACATTCAAACATCAAATAAATACTAAACAGACACAATGTGAAATTTAAGTTAACTGCACAAAATCATACTTGCCTGGCTCAATAATCAAAGCGCCGATGTGGGAAAGCCCAGTAGAATTTGAAAACAACTGCAACTCTTGTGATATAAATGATGCGTAAAGGGTTGAAAGATCTGAACCATTTCGGCTGCTCTTGAAAATTTCATCATGCGAGGTGAAAGCTACAAAAAGAGACCAACCAATATCTAATACAAAGAAATAAAACAAAAGAGGGAGGACGAACAGAGATGAAGTACTTCACTTACACAAGCATGCATGTTCAAATTTGTCAAATTGCATCTTCTCAGGGAGAGAAACTTTCCAGGAACCATTTTGTATGGAAACTGTAGGTGGATCTAGAAAGAGACCTCTTCCCCTGTACCTGTAGAGTTTCGGAGTCGATATAAGAATCAAACCAGATTTTGCAAGATGTTCTATAGTGATACCAAAATCAAACTTCGTGAGATGTTTCTCAGTCTTAACATGAAACCACCACAGTGACCTAAAACTTAAAGAAAAAATTACATAACTAATCATTAAGGACTAGGAGGAATATATGTAAAAGCAAGCTAAAAGGTATCACACTGTACAATCTACACAAAAGATGAATTTGATGGGAAGATATGCTAAATCAAACAAGGAAACCTTGTACTACAAGAGAATGCCACATGCACACTTGCACATCCTACCAGGGTTGCTGGAGAATGCCAGTATAAGGTGAAGGGGCCTGGGCCTCCATGGCACCCAGTGTATCGCCATGATAAGATCCCCTAAGAGCTAGAACCTAATTGGGACAAAAAAACAAAATTAAGATCTAGAATAAATTCTAAATAATTGTTATGCAAAGGATTTAAAATAGTGGTATTCTAATGTTGGCTTCATCTTATTTAGCACCAGAGTATCAAATGTCCCAAGATTTGACTTCACTCAGCACACAGCTGAATCCATCCAAAAACCAGTGGTGAAAAATATTATAATATGGAAATCTAAAGAGAAACTTGTTGGTTCCTGCCTTGGGGAGGGGCTTCCGAAAACACTGAACTATTATCTATCTTCTACAGAAAACAGTTTTATCACCTTGAGATCCATGCATTTTCCATCCACATTTGTAATCAAAAGGTTATTGTCAGACAAGAACTTGCGGAAGGCCATTTTGAGAGCTATTTCTACTGCGGTAGATCCATTATCAGAGAAGTAGACTCTGGAAGCCCATCCTGGAAACATCAGAATTGAAGATAGTAGAAATCAACATGCAGTTTCTTCAGCAAGTTCATAAGTTCAGAATAGAGAGCCCATCCAACATTTAACACAAAAATTCAGACGAGATTACTAAACAGGAACAAAGTAATGAACTATTATGATTTATGATGGGGAGAATAATTTACACATCAAGTTGTTGTATCTAAACATACAAAAATACAAACAATGGGCATAACTACAGGTATGTTTTTCTAGCACGTTGATTTTCTGATCATTGTTTACATTTACTAAAAGAAATAAAAAGGGAAAAAAAACAGAGAAAATAAAAAGCACTTCGAAAGGACTGGAAGCCCAAAATACATTGCCAACAACTGGAAATTCAAAACTAACACCTTGCAAAAACTAACACAAGAAAGGTGTATTATGACAAAGAAAGGAAAAAAAAAATGCTCTTCTACAGAAATATAAAAGAAAATAAGGGGTAAACTTACCTTTTCCTACACCAGCAAGTAGAAGTTCAGCTAATTCAAGGGCTGGCTCATATACATTCTCCGGGAACATTACATGTCCATATCTTGCAGCAGTATATCCCATATCTCTAGCAAGTTCAATCTGTAAGCACCTAAACAAAAACATTGCTAATGTAACAGAAAAGTAGATAATAGGTGGCATTCAAACTGTTCCAGATTCCTTGATATCATTACAATTTCAAAAAACCATAGCAAAGACATACTATGTATGTGTACAGCTTGTAGCAACCTTGTAATGGAATACAGTAAAATATGGTTATTTCCCAGCACCAAAAGCTTAAGTAAAAGTGGAGATTAAATAAATATATCAACTATAAAAATAATAAATAATACCTGTGTGCATAGTTCTCTCATAAGAATGAGACAAAAATAATTAAATGAGTGACAATAATACAAATAAAAAAGGAGACATAGGGGGAAAAAACAATTGCCCTTCCACAAATATAGCAAGAGAGAGAGAGCGAGAGAGAGAGAGAGAGAAGTCATACAAAAAAAAATCATGAGCAGCACATTGAGAAACTTCTGATGTTGCACAATCAATCATTTTTTAGCTAGAGATCCAGAACAATATTAAGGAGAAATATACGAGGAGATAGGACACTGACCTGCAAGTTAGCATCAGGACCCTGAGTCCACCAACTTGCACATGCATCAAACTGTGGAGAAATCCAATTGCAGCTCTGAAAGGGAAGAAGTACACATTAGAAAACTATAATAGGCGGCATTATTTTGAAAGTCATAACAGGAAGATACAAAAAAAAAAAAAAAAAACCATTCATTTGGTGATTGCACAAAACTCTCCTTTCTCACATATCTGCTAAGAATAACCAAATAATATACATCAACAAAGATGACAACTTGAAACCGACTCGTTCACAAAAATTCCAACCTTGTGAACCGCAAAGTTTTCCCCACAGCGCGAGTCTATAACAGTAACCTTTTCTTCAGGTATGAGCTTGTGCTGAGTGAATGGCCACCAGAAGACGTCACATGCCTTTCCCGGCATAGCATGCAATCTCTTGGTCCTTTCCTGAAAAGCTGAAAGTATTATCTCTTGCAGCGAAGTGAAAATTGTCTGAGACTTGTTAAACCAGGACATCAGGTCATCAGATATATCTTTTGGAATAGGCGGAAGCACGAGTACTGGCATCCTAGTAAAAGACAAAAAAGAGAGGATGACACAGCACAAAGAAAAATAAAATAGACAGGTTCATAATAGACAGATATGAACGTAAACAGATGCTCATACATAACTTAAGCTATCAGATGTTTGCAGCATATATAAGGTCGAAGTACTTTCGTACATGCAACTTGGTTAAAAAAAAATGAATGATATGAAGCAACAGCACAAAAACATAAATCCTTACCTATTTCGAAAGTATGATAATAGTGGCAACTCATTTTTTAAACCATGATCCTCAAAAATAACAGCAGCAACGTCATATCCTCGTAGCTTTAGACTTTCATAAGCAGAGATAGTTCCAGAAATACCACCTAATCTTCCATCCCCCACAAGAATAGCTGGCAGGCGGAAAGGGCTGCTACATCAGAACAAGCATACATCAGAATTTAAAATAGAGAAAATACTTTCTTTACATTCTTGAATGTCAAACACAAGAAACAGATAGAGTGTTGGAGTCCATTTTTCAGATGAATGCATGGACAAAAATTCCGCCAGATAAATTAAAACACCTATTACACCGTTTGCACTACCAGAAAGAGTTAATCAATACCCTCGTTTTGAAACATCACCTTCAGAAGCTTCTTTGAATTGTTCTCACATCACTATGCGTTTCAGTTTATATACACAATGCTGTCTATAACATCACTACCATGTCGAAAATTACAACAACTGAATTTCAGTTCACACAAGATTTTTCACAAATAACATACAAGTACCAACCGATATAAGTCACACTGAAGAGACCCGGATGGCCCAGGACTGGCTATTCCGCCTGCAGTCTCGATCACACACATAATATCCACGTTTTCTCGAGCACCATCTAGGCCATTTTCTAAGCATCTCTTAAGCATATCTAAGACCTCTGAGTCCTCGACCATGGCATCTTCTTTCTCAGCAGCTAAATGAGGCGAGACGGCCTCTTTCCACCCATACATAGTCTTGCAAACAACCTCAGACACCGGAAACAGCTCAGCTTCACCGTTACTTTCACTCCCCTGCAACTTCCTCTCTTCATACCATTGCACATTCTGTAACCCATCGCGTTTTCCAACAAAATAACTCCCGAAATCATCGCTCCTCGAGCCGCCCGAGCTGCTACTGCCTAAGATTTGGTTTGCAGCTGGAACAGAGGCTTTCAGAACACAATTCGATGCGTAGACGGAGAAGGGCAGCGGCTTGAGAGCGAAAAACTGGGAGAATTTCCTGTAAACAAAGCCAGAGTCCGAGTCGGCAGGAAACCCGGTCTGAACTGGCTTGAGATACAGAAATCTCTTCTTAGTAGGCGGCGGCGCCGCCGAGGAGGAGGAGGAGGAGAGGAAGGACATGGAGAGGCCGGCTGAGACTAGGGTTTTGCCGAGGGAGGTGTTGGCGGCCCAGATTGTGTAGATTGGGTGCGTGAGGGGGTACTCTATAGCCGAGTGGAGAAGGCGGCGGCGGTGGTGGGAAAAATGGGAGCGGCGGGAGAAGCGGCGGAGGAGTACGGCGGAGGAGAGGCAGCTAACCGGCGGCATTGTGTGTGTTAGAGCCTTAGAGGTGACTCTAGGCTAGAAGCAGGAGGGTTTTAGCGGCTACGAGAGTTCAAACATTAATGGCTAATTAAACTGGTTTTAGCTGTGAGCTATTGTACCTTTGTAGTCACGAAAGGTGGCAATGCAAAGGTGTGACACGAAACGAGTCATTCTTTAATTTGTCTCTACTCGAATTAACGAGGCCTCAAGCTTGTAGGTTAGTCTTTGCTCGATTCAATGAGATGAGGGTAGCTCAAGAATAAGAGTTTTACGTATTTTTTTGTTTGTAAACTCGTCTCTACACGAGTCAATGAGGCTCGCTCAAGCTCATAGGCTCGTCTCTGCTCGATTCAATGGAGTTCGCTCAAGAACAACTCCTCTCTACTCGATTCAGTGAAGGTAGTGTGGATAAGCGATTTTTATCAACATAATGAGAATGTGTGAGGTAGAAAAATTTGAGATGTAGAGAATTAAGCACTATATTTTTATTGATAGTCTTGGGAAAATAATATGGTTTGAATGAATTTGAATGAAGTGTTGGGGTGGTTATTTGATTGAACAACTTCTCCTCTTATTTACAGAATCGTATAGTTTTATTTAGAATCTTGAAAGTATACGTGTCAATTTTAGAGAAGTCGTTAGTTACATTGACAATGGCATATGTAGGTCTTTATTGGTCCGAATCGACATTTTTTTCTAGTAACTTTGTTGGTCAGATTGACACTTTTTAGCTCAATTGACAGTATTATGCAAGATTGACACTTTTCTAACAAAGATTGGTAATATGTTGTTTATATTGTCGTGTGTATTATTTTGAGCTCATATTTCGTTATTCTAATAATTGTAGTGAACTTGACATGTAGTTCAAGAATATGATTTTTACATATTATTTTTTCAGCTTAGTTCGACTTAAAACTTGAAACTAGTCACCCGAAAGCACATTTACTCTCTATTCAGTGAAGTTCGTTCAAGAATAAGAGTTTTTACGTTTTGTTATGAACTTTTAGGTTAATTCTTTCAAGTTCGACAGAATCTTTTAGGTTAATTCTTTCAAGTTCGACAGAATCAAGTTCGAGCTCATTTAGTTAACCAGCCGAATTCGGCTCAATTCATTACTATGAGCGAGCCCATTCATAAAATATACAATTACAAAAACGATGATAGTTTGCCCTTGAAACTTTACAAAATAATAGATGTTTAACACAGTTATCCTCAATCGATAAAGAGCATGTTTCAACTTTCAACTTTCAGGTCATTATTCAGTTTGGAATTTGAGTTATAATTTCATCGATTTTTAGCTCGCAGCTTCAGATTCTCTTGTATGCATTAACAATTCAAAATTCAATTCAGCTGTGCTTCAGGAATCTTGATCAATATATCAAATAAGACTAAACAAACTTAATATTGGGGAACATACAGTAATACGGTCAAATAGAACAGACCAAGAGCACTTATGCGAACTATAACGAAACATGATTCATGTAAGAGTGGTGCACTAACACTCATAATATTGATAAATTTAAGTCGAGACAAATTTAAAACACTGCATTTCAATCCAAAATGTCTAGAAGATATGTGCTGGTTCAAATAAACAACAAACACAATTCTGAAATATCCAGAAACAATAACATTTGATCTCCAAGAATCATCATCAGGTTCTCATCCTTGGACAGGCCCTGAAATGAAAGCTCTTCCGGGTTGCCTATTCGCCAAAGGTCCATGACATCCAAGAAGCTGCAAAGTTCACAAAGAAATAACATTTAAGTTCCACAGATTGAAAGCCAGCAATGTATTGAAGATGCTTGAATTCGTTGAAATTCGAACAATATGTAACGCTAACAATTAGTTGGTGTTAAAAAAAAAAAAAAACTATGTCAGAAAGACAAACCTTGGCATTAACACCATCAGAAACAATCCTATTCTCCGATTTCCATTTCAGATAATCAGTGCGGTTGTATTTGGTAAATCCCCTGGAAATAAGAACACAAAGAAGAGCATTGTAACCCAACTTCAGCATTTCTCATTTAGCTGTTTGGGACCCAAATAAGTTAAAACACTTCCCCATCAAATCACATCTTAACAAAAACTCAAAAAGCTACTTCACTCATCCACACCAAATGACAGACTAAAGGATCAAGAAAAGAGAACCAAATCACTCACATAAAATGCAATACTTTCCAAGAAACAACTAAGTGAGAAATGATCGTAATGGAGGAATAACAATAAATATGGTTATCAGTAGAAAAAAAACAATATGCTGGGAAAAAAATTAAAATTTCTGAAAGAACCAATACCATTTCCGGCTAACGATGATCTTCTGACGACCAGGGAACTTGAACTTCGCACGGCGCAGAGCCTCCTGAGCATGGTGGCTGTTTGCATCCTTGCAGCGTACAGACAAAAGGACTTGACCAATGGCCACACGAGCACATGTCCCCTGTGGCTTGCCAAAAGCACCCCTCATACCAGTTTGGAGCCTATCAGCTCCAGCACACGAAAGCATCTTGTTAATACGCAAAACATGGAAAGGGTGTACCCGCACCCTCAGGTGGAAGGTGTCCTTTCCAGAAAACTTGGTCATGTACTTGTTGCAAGCAATACGGGCAGCTTCCAAAGCCTCGCTAGATACATTTTCTTTTTCCCAACTGACCAAGTGCACGCAAAACGGGAACTCGTCCACACCTTTTTTCTTCATGCCCACATCATAAATCCTGATCTTAGGGTCAGGTACACCACGGCAGTATCGTGATTTTGGGTAAGGCTTGTTCTTGATCTGACGGTAACACCTAGCAGGTCCTGGTGGGAAAACAAAGAAACAAACAGAAGCAAATCATTGACATGGATTGAACAAAAACACATTAGTAATCAAGAATTTTACAAAGAAGGGACAACGATGAACAAAACACAAAGATAGCTTGGAATAAAGCTTGGCTAGATTGATGTAACATATTAGCCTGGCTAAAATAAAAAAAGTAAGATTGATATAACATATAATACAATACTATTATATAGCAGGGGATCGTATCAACAAGTTTCTCGTGAAATGATGCAATATATATACAATTATCTACAACAAAAACCCCAACTTCTTACTTTCTATCATTTGAATTAAAATGGTGGCAACCAATCATCACTGGATTTTAGCACTATGGATTAAAATTCCAACGATAAGAACCAACACGACCATAAAAATTAGCAGAAAACAGAAGTTTGGGAATCTATAGATCACGTGAAACCATAAAAATGACCAGAAAAAACAGAAGCTCGACAATCTGACAATCCAATGAAACAACATATCGACAAATTCTGAAATAAATTAACCCAAGATGCTAGAAATGAAATCCAAAGTAAAAAAAATAATGCGATCCTGATAAATCTATGTCATAAGTAATGTATTTCTTCCAAAATCATACAAGCAATAATCATATATCGAATGCAAGTACGAAGAAAAATGTCTTACTTCTCCCCATGGCGAGCTTCTTCAAGTCTTATCACCCGATGATCAAAACCAGAAAACCTAACCCTAGACGACCTGAAATGGTCGGATTATATATAGAAATGATTAGGCGGGCGGTGATGTAGGCCCAGTATTTAATGGGCTGGTCAGATAGTTCTAGGCCCAGAATAACGTGTGTGAATCGCCTGTGATGGTGGAAAAGATCAATTCGACTTGTTTATAATAGAATGTTCTATTAATTTGACTAGTATAATTTGACTAGTTAATTCTATTGTGATGATTTATTTTAGTGGAAAAAAAATAAAATCAACTCGTCTTGTTTGAATTAAGATGATTATATAAATTGATTTGATTAGTATAATATATTATTATATTTTATTTAAATGTTTAGTATGAAAAATTAATGGTTTTTATCCTTTTCATAATGAATAATGGTATTAAAATAATTTATTTTCAATATTTTTTTATATATATGTATGTCCTCTTGAATAATAAAAAATATTTTATATATAATGATAATATAATTAATGAAATTCTTGAAATATTTAAGAACTCGTATACTGTATATAATTGCGATACATGAAAAAACAATACTAAAATTATATTTTTTTTGTATGAATCAGCTTAACATTTAGATAGTTCGACCTATCATGCTCGTTTAACAAAAATTAGAGTATTGTCTATCTCTTTTTAGCTAGAAAATTATTGCCGTGGTAGCTAATAAATTAATGAGTTAGCTGTCATAGTTTGGCTATTCTATAAGGAAATTGAAATAAAAATTAAATTTTGTTGGCTAAATTAAATAAAGAAAAAAAAAAGTACCCTTTTCCCCTATTGTGGGCTTTTTGAGTTATTTCATGAGTTATCACTAACTTATAATTATGAGTTCTCATTAATTTAGTAGCAGTTCAAGGTTACAAGTTCAGCCAGCCAAAAACTTTGAAAAAGACATGTTTTTTGCTTTAAAGCTTCAGTTTTAGATCTAATGTTTTAAATACCGTACCGATGATCATACCGAACGAGTCATCGGTACGCGGTTCAACCGATTTTACAGTCTATTTTACCGATTTTAATAAATATTAAATTAATCTATTATTATAATATAAATAATATATAGAACTAACTATAATAAATACTAAAATTAACTAAAATCTAATAACAATGTAAATATATTAAATTTAAGTGTAGAACTTTCTATTTATATAAATAAATTAATAAAAATATGTTATAAAAATATTTTTTTTATAAAATCCGGTATACCCGGTATTTTAACCGGTATTGTGGTCGGTATTGTCTTGAGCTGCACACGAGTCGAGCGGCTCGCGAGCCGCTCGCGAGCGCTCGAGTCAAGCACTCGAGTTTGACCGAACTCGAGTCGAGCTCGACCGGCTCGAGCACAAACTCGAACCCATATTTTACATTGTCGAGCGGCTCGCGAGCGGCTCGAGATTTATGGTAAATTACTAAAATACTTCTTCTATATATATAATTTGACAAAATTCTTTGAAATTTTCGAACCGAACTCGAGCTGAGCTCGAGCATTTTGAATTCGAGTCGAGCTCGAGCTATTGTATTTTCTTATGAGTCGAGCTCGAGCTCGATGAGCTCGAGTAGCTAAAAAAAAATTTCTGCTCGATAAGGCCAATGCTCGACTCGGCTCGGCTCGTTTGCAGCCCTAGTATTGTCTGGTAAAATTGGTATTTTCGGTATGAAACGGTATTTTTGCCAAAACGGTATTTAGGGGCAATCGTACCGATCGGACCATTGGTAGCCGGTAATACCGGTATTTAAAACATTGTTTAGATCTACATAAATAAATCCATCTGAAAAAAGAAAAAAAAAAGGAAAAAAAACCCGAAAAAAAAAAGAGAGAGAATGGGATAGAATCCCAGCAGAGGAGACAATATAAATTTGTTTTTGTTTCTAATAATATAATAATAATAAAAAAATGTCTGGCGCACATCAAAGGATATATAAACCAGCTGTTCATGACCATCATACCCAACGCCACCGCTCCCCCGCAGTCGAGATGACCTCCGCCGCACCTCCGCCGTCTTCCGGCCGCTCTGTTTTCCTCGGCGTGGACGTCGGCACCGGAAGCGCTCGTGCAGGTCCCCCTTTCACCCGTTATCGAGATTATTATGAGAATTTTGATTCTGATATAATTAAATTAACACTTATGGCTCTCAAGTCTCAATAGTTCCTCTGTTTATGAGTATATGTGAAATTATGTTTTGTAAATTTTGTTGGGTTTCTGTAGAGAAAGGTTCTTTTATATTTTTTATGAAGTGGGTAGTAATATTTGTTAGTGCATTGATGTTATCTTCCTTGTACGGTTTAATGAATGCTTGTTCTGGGTACAGTTGCTTGTATACGGGCTAATTTAATTTCAGATTACAAATGGTGGGACCTTAACAAAATTTGGAAATATCGTTGTGTACTTTATTAGATTGATTAACTTACTGTACCTCAAGATACTGTGAAATTGAGCTGTGTTGAGCTGCGTATGAGATATTTGCAATTAAGGCATCCAAAAATGCTTAATGTGTTTTCGTGTACTGCTGTTTAATGCAGGTTTATTTGACAATGATGGACGACTTTTAGGTTGTTCTAGTAGTCCTATACAGATTTGGAAAGAAGGTGACTGTGTTGAGGTAAATTATAGTGTTATGAATTTTGAAAACTTTTCACATTCAAGTGTATAGGCCTAAATTGGTGTTGTTACTAAATAACGAGCGTACTTATTCATATATTTTATCGTATTTCATATCCAGCAATCTTCGACCGATATATGGCTTGCTATTTGCACAGCTGTCAAAGCAGCGTGTGCTCTTGCAAATGTTTCTGGAAGTGAAGTTACAAGTTTGGGTTTTGCAGCTACTTGTTCTCTGGGTAATGAACAATAATTTAACAATTGTAGCTTAGCATAATTAATTACCAGGGTAAATTTGGTCTTTTTTTGTGCAGTTGCTGTTGATTATGATGGAGAGCCCGTGACAGTATCGTGGAGTGGCGACACGAGGAGAAATATTATAGTGTGGATGGACCACAGAGCTGTAGAACAAGCGGAGAGAATTAATTCTTCCAAATCGCCAGTTTTGGAATATTGTGGTGGGGCCGTGTCCCCTGAGATGGAGCCACCCAAGGTATTCTTGTGGATAGTATTTTCTCATGCTCGATTTATTGTCTCCATAAAGAGTTTGTAGGTAGATGGATATGTAAATATCTGTTCATGGATGTTTTCTTGGTGGAGACTGATTGGCCAAGAATTCGAGATTTTATGCATCACAAGCCCTTTTCATGTAGATTAGCTGCTCATCATCACCGAATAATTAGGGACAATGCAAAAAGAAGCAAAATAACAGGATTTGTGGATAAATGGTTTATGTTGCATGGCTTATTCTTAATCCCTCTCTCTTAGCTATCATGTATGTAGTCTTAATAATGTTAACATAGGCCCAACCCATGTATACTTAAGCCCTAAGTCTATATATATGGGCATCCTCACTTGTGGATATTAATCATTCATTCATAAATCCTAAGGTTTGTAACATGGTATCACAGCCTTTCACATAAATCCTTTTTTTCGATCTCACCTCCCACATAAGTCGAATCGCTGCCTCAAGAAATATTTTCCGGCCAAGTTTCGCCGTCACGCGCCGCCGGGAGTTTCTGCCGGCAGTCCCACGCGCTGCCTTGCTGGAATTTTTTCCGGCGACCACCCGTGAGCTCGGAATTTTGTCCTCGTTTTTCGTTTTCTGTTTTGGGAGGTTTTGGAGGTCGTTTTCCCTTTTTTCAGATCCATTAATTGTCGGGGTTAGGGTTCGTGTACTCTAATTAGTTCCGGCCATCGTCAAATTCTGTTTTTGTCGTCTCTCATCTGTTGTGTGCTCGTCGCAGCATCTTTATTCATATTTCATCGCGGATCGTCGCTCCCTTTTTGTCAAATCATGTCGCAACTTCATGCAATTGCTATTAATATTACTCTTGATGGTCAGAATTATCGTGAGTGGGCTTTTTCGGTTGAAACTGTGTTGAGGGGTTATGGTTTGGCTTTCCACTTGACTGATGATGGACCCGAAAGGAAGGCCGATAATAGTAATGCTGGTGAAATCAGAATATGGCAGATTAATGATGGGAAAGTGATGGCTGCCATCGTGAACAGTGTCAAACAATCTATGATTATGAGCCTTTCTTCTTTTCGGACAGCCAAGGGAAAGTGGTCATATTTGCAACAGCGCTATGTTCAGGATAGTGGTGCTCTCTTGCGCACTCTTATGCAACAGATTCACGTGATTGAACAGAACACCTTGTCCTTTGATGAGTACTACTCAGCTTTTGATCGTTTGATGGGACCATTGATCTCTATGGTACCTCAGTGCTCGGCAGAGGAGTGTTCAACACATAAAATTTGTTAAGAAGTTCTTCATTTATCGCTTTGTCATGGGAGTCAGATCAGAATTTGAGTCCATTCGTACACGGTTGCTTCACGACTCTTCTACTCTGACCATGGCACAAGCATTATCCAATTTGATTGCTGAAGAGACTCGTCTCCATTCTCTGTCAGTTGCTCCGCCATCGGCATTGCAGAGTGTTCTGGCAGCTCCTCAAAGGACATCTTCTCAACGGCTTAGTGCATCTAGAGGTGACTCTTCAGAACCTTGTAAGCATTGCGGGAAGACCGGTTATAGTGCCGAGAATTGTTTTACTCAGCATCCAGAAAAGTTGGCTGAGTATCGTGCACGTCGTGCTGCTCGGGCTCGTGGTACGACTTCTGCTACAAAGGGGTCTGTTTCTGGCGCTGCTGCCTCTCCTGTCCATGCACCTCAGTCTTGGGTCCTCGATTCTGGAGCATCATTTCACGTGACATCGGATCAGTCCCAATTGGTTGCCTGCAAGGCGGTCCCAGATGGTGCTTCTATTCAGACAGCTGATGGCACCTCTTGTCATATCACTCATGAGAATTCTCTATGCAATTCACGTTTTTTAGTACCTAATATCTCTTATGTTCCTAAGTTATCTATGAATCTTCTTTCAGTTGGTCATCAGTTGGTTTGGTCATCATCAGTTGGTCAGGTCACTGATCGCAATTGTTTTGTTGGATTTGATGACTCATCTTGTTTTATTCAGGATCGTCGAAGCGGGGTTGGGACTGGCCATCGCCGTAAAGGTTCTCCGAGTCTCTACATCTTAGACACTTTGCATCTTCCCTCTTCCACTGGTTCTACCGCTCGTGTGTCATCCGTTGCCTCGTCTTCCACCTCATCTTTCGCCAAGTGGCACCATCGTCTTGGTCATTGGAGCGGTTCCCGTTTGTCTACTTTGATTAGTACTGGTTGTTTAGGTCGTACATCTATCGAGTCTAATTTTCATTGTAAGGGTTGCAAGCTCGGAAAACAGCTGCAACTCCCATATACTACTAGTATTTCTCATTCTTCTAGACCTTTTGATCTTATTCACTTTGATGTATGGGGTCCGTCCCCTTTTCCTACAAAAGGTGGCAAATAAATATTATGTTCATTTTATTGATGATCATTCTCGATATACTTGGATTTATTTTATGAAACATCGTTCTCAGTTATGTTCCATTTATAAAGATTTTGCTCGTATGATTCATACTCAGTTTTCTACTCCTATTCGGGTTTTTCGTTCTGATTCTGGTGGTGAGTATTTGTCTAACACTTTTCGTCAGTTTTTAACCTCTGAGGGCACTCTTGCTCAGCTCTCCTGTCCTGGTGCACATGCTCAGAATGGTGTTGCAGAAAGAAAATACCGCCATCTCATTAAGACTGCTAGAACCCTTCTCATTGCCTCATTTGTTCCTTCTCAATTTTGGGGAGAAGCTGTGTCTACTGCCGTTTATCTTATTAACCGACAACCATCTTCCAAATTATCTGGGAAGTGTCCTGGTGAGGTTCTTTTTGGTATTCCCCCTAGCTATGATCATCTTCGGGTTTTCGGATGTACATGCTATGTTTTGCTTGCTCTTCATGAGCGAACTAAACTGACTGCTCAGTCGGTTGAGTGCGTCTTTTTGGGGTATAGTTCCGAGCATAAGGGTTATCGTTGTTATGATTCTTCTGCTCGTCGCATGCGTATATCTCGTGATGTAACTTTTGTTGAGGATCGTCCTTTCTTTTATAACCCTTCCACTCATCCCACATCTACTTCTTCAGAGTCTACGTCATTCTTATGCCTTCCTCCTATTTCCTTTCTTGATGATGATGTCCATATCTCTTCCTCCTCTTTCACTCGTGATGAGCATGCACCACCCATTTTTTATGAGTCTCCACCACATAAACAACCCATCACACAAGTCTATACTCGTCGTCCCAAGGGTCAAACAATGCTTCCGCCTCATTCTACTACAATGGCCAGATGCTCCCGTCCTAGATGATTATGTTGATTGTGATGTGTCACATGCCATCCGTGGAGAGTCTGAGGTTGGTCAGAGATATAATTTACGTGATCGTGCTACTATTGCGCCATCTTGATAAGTTGGGCTTTCCACGTGCGGGTGCTATTATTGATGAGCCCTCAACCTATCAGGAAGCTTCGGTATTCCAGAGTGGCAAATGGCTATGTCAGAGGAACTTTCTGCACTTGATCATACTGGCACTTGGGATCTTGTTCCGTTACCATCGCATGCCATGCCTATCACCTGTAAGTGGGTCTTTAAGATTAAGACCAAGTCGGATGGCTCCATTGAGAGATATAAAGCTCGTCTTGTTGCTAGAGGCTTTCAGCAGACTCTGGGGAAAGATTATGATGAGACTTTTGCTCCCGTTGCTCACATGACGACTGTTCGTACTTTGATTGCAGTGGCTGCTACTCGTTCCTAGACCATATCTCAGATGGATGTGAAGAATGCTTTCCTTCATGGTGATCAAAGTTTATATGCAGCCACCGCTGGGTGTTGATGCCCCCTCTGGACATGTTTGTCGCCTTCGTCGCGCATTATATGGTCTCAAACAGGTTCCTCGTGCTTGGTTTGAGCGTTTTGTTTCTGTCATAAGGGTTGCTGGTTTCTCTCATAGTGATCATGATCCTGCTTTGTTTATTCATCTCTCTCCACGTGGGCGTACTCTACTTCTTCTATATGTTTGATGATATGTTGATTACGGGAGATGATGTAGAACATATTTCTCATGTCAAGAAGCAACTTGGTCAACAATTTTAGATGTCCGATTTGGGTCCTCTTAGCTACTTTTTGGGCATAGAGGTGATGCATTCTGTCTCGGGCTATTACCTTTCTCAGTCTAAGTACATACAAGACCTTCTTGTTCATTCCGGCATTACTGATAATCGGACAGCTGTTACGCCTATGGATCTTCACTTACAGCTTCGTCCCACTGATGGTACGCCTCTTGAGGATCCCTCTCGCTATCGACATATTGTAGGCAGTCTCGTTTACCTTACTGTTACCAGGCCTGACATTGCTCACGCAGTTCATATATCGAGTCAGTTTGTGAGTGCTCCTACTTCGGTTCATTTTGGGCATTTGCTTCACGTGCTACGATACTTAAGGGGAACATCATCTCAGTGTTTATTATATTCTCGCGATAGTCCGCGTCAGCTTCATGCTTACTCGGATTCTACTTGGGCAAGCAATCCAACTGTCCGTCGTTCTGTTACTGGTTATTGCATTTTTCTTGGTTCTTCTCCTCCAAGTAAGTCCAAGAAGCAGCAGCTGTATCTCGATCTAGCACAGAGGCAGAACTTCGAGCACTTGCTACTACCACCTCAGAACTTATATGGCTTCGATGGTTGTTAGCCGATTTTGTATTTCATGTGATGATCCTACGCCTCTTCTTTCTTCTTTGTGATAATACTAGAGCAATTCAAATTGCCAATGATCCAGTAAAACATGAACTTACAAAATACATTGGTGTTGATGCTTCCTTTACCCGATCTCATGACAGGAAACAATTACAATTATTTTCAGTATGTGCCGTCAGAACTGCAAGTGGCTGATTTTTTCACCAAAGCACAAACCAGAGAGCAACATCGGCTTCACTTGCTCAAACTCAATGCTTCGGATCCTCCACCTCCACCTTGAGTTTGAAGGGGGGTGTTAACTATTATATAAGCCCAGCCCATATACACTTAAGCCCTAAGTCTATATATATGGGCATCCTCACTTGTGGATATTATTCATTCATTCATAAACCCTAAGGTTTGTAACAAATAATTTATGATACTCCGGCTTTCCCTGCAAAACATGGAAGGATGGGATATGTATTAAACAAAATGCACAGAGTTGATTCAAAGAGTAGTAAATAACAGAAACTATTAAAATGCAAGATAATTAGTAAACTCGCAAAGCCACGAAAGACAGCAAGGACAAATTTTGTTTATTCCATGCTTGTCTAAATCTGTTATGCAGAACTGCAGAAAGTCATGTTGTAATTCAAAAATATGATTATCCAGCTTATATAGTTTCTTCTGTAAAGGGACCTCACCAAATGATCATGTTGGTTTTTCTCTTTTTCAACGACTTATCTTGCTAATGTGATTTCGTGTTAAGGTGCTTCACTAGAGACGATATCCTTCATAATCATGAAACATAAACAAATATCTAATTGTCCCTTCATTTTGATTTTAAACTGCACTATGTAGCTTCTGTGGGTCAAAGAGAATTTACAAGAGTCCTGGTCGATGGCATTTAGGTGGATGGATCTCAGTGACTGGTTATCATATAGGTAATTTTTCATAAGTTCATAAGTTAATATCTCATTTGTCAACCAGCTTTCAAGAAAATAATAATACATACGCCTTATATGGCCTATTCTCTTAGAGCAACTGGAGATGATACTCGGAGTCTGTGCACAACAGTCTGCAAGTGGACTTATTTAGGTCATGCGCACATGCAACAGGTCAACGAGACAGATTCTCGTGACATGGAAGCTCTCGGTTGGGATGATGAGTTCTGGGAGGAGATCGGTTTAGGTGATCTTGTGGATAGCCATCATTCAAAGATTGGTATGCATCTACATCATGTTTTTACCATTACCATTTTTTTTCGCTGCGTGAATTTTCAAAAGTTAGCTTTTCTTGGATTGTTGATGCTTGGATATAAGAATTTTTTGTTTTTATTTGGATTTTTTTGGTTTGGTTTGGTTAATTTTGAAAAAACGTGGTATGGTTAGTTGTCAGTGGGTATACTAAAATAATATCTAAAATAAAATAATTAAAGTTTATTTTTGATGTAAAAATAGGAAAGAGATGATGTGAAGTGGTGGTTACTATGTGAGTTGATGAATAGCGAATTAAAGTTGATATGGTGTGTAAGAATATGATTGATGATATTATATTTAATTATATTGATAATATTGATGACAGTGGAATTAGTCTTGTGAAGTCTGTTCCCTGGAGATAAGCAGCAAAGTAGCTATTGCGATATGGCTACAGTTTTGATTGTTTTTATTTTTCTGGTTTTAGTTAAATAATTCAGCTACAGAATCCCCATGGCAGAAAAAAATATTTTGATAGGAAGCGGATTTTTAAGTTACTTTGTATTCCTGAGTGAAATTTAACTCATTCTTCAGATAAACTTACTGTCATCTTTCATTTATCTCATATAGAGTTAGTGAAACAGTTGGAAGGTGGTACTCTAGATACTTATGTATGTGAATTTCTTCCTTGACTGAGTTTTGAGATATTTCTTGCCATTATATTGTATGAATTTTCTTCTTAATTTTATCAAAAAAATATACCTGTTAACAGGACGAAGTGTAGCTTTTCCTGGGTACGCTTTGGGTTCTGGTCTGACACCTGATGCTGCAAAGGCACGTCTCATAGTTGAATTTGAAATTTTATTTAGTTCCTTTTTATTAAATGATGTATAACATCCACTTCAGTCAAATTCAGAACCACCAGCCCTTTTCATTTCATTTCCATTTTCCTTTTTGGTATTAAAAAAATTCTCTAATATGGATGGTTTATTTAATTAACCAATATTTAAATTTAATTAACCAATCTATTTTCAGGAATTAGGTCTGGTGGCTGGGACACCTGTCGGGACATCCTTAATCGATGCTCATGCAGGTGGGATAGGTGTGATGGAAAGTGTGCCTGTGACAGATAGAGAGATAAAAGGTTTTTTTTTTTCCTCTCCAATTTGTCCTTTAACAGTCGCAACATTTTTCATTAGAGAAATTCTGAGTTGTTTTTGAGCGTGCAGAAAATGACGGGGAAGAAATATGTCATCGAATGGTATTAGTATGTGGAACTTCCACTTGTCACATGGCTATTTCCAAGACCAAATTGTTCATTCCAGGCGTATGGGGACCATTCTGGTCAGGTATAATATTCTGACAAAAAACATACTTTTTTTTTTGCTTTTAGTGGATTTCTTTTTATTCGTAATTTGTTAAGTCATTTTTTTTTTTCACTTACATTTTGAAATGTACTGCTCTCATGTTATATAAAGAAAATTTCTTGTGCCCTCAATTTTCACATGATGTATTTAGTTATTAACTCTCCTTGAACTCAGTGTTTGAAGTACCAGAAGAATTGAATTAAACTTTAATTGGTTCAGATGAGCTACTAAAATGTATTGCTTCTGTATGAAATTCATCACAATCGAGTGGCAGTAGTAATTCATGCAGTTTTTCATCATATTGGAAGTACATTAAGAAGATTATAGTGATTCAGGACCTAATAATTGGATCAAAAGGATCTGTATTTTATAATAGCTTTGCATTTTTTTTTTCTTATAGAATCCTATTTTTTTTTTTTTTTGGTTATTTAATCAGCTATGGTACCTCAGTATTGGCTGACAGAAGGAGGTCAGAGTGCAACTGGGGCACTACTCGATTACATAATAGAGAATCATGTTGCTTCTCCACACCTAGCAAATAAAGCTGCTTCTCGATGTAAGATTGCTGAAAGTTCACATATATATGTATGTGGTTCAAATGAAAACCAAGTCTTAGCGTGAGAACCGTGAGAACCATTATTTTTAATTGTACGTAATGCTATGATTGATTGTGTTTTAGCGCTATTTTTTACCAGAATATATATTATTAAAAATAGCAACACAATTTATATTAGCCTTTGTAAATGATAGCACCATACACAAGTAAAAATAGCATCAATACAGTTCTTACGGTTTTCACACCAGAACTAGTTTTTATTTGAACCAATTCTCATATATTGTATGTATAGGATATATACATATACACACACACATATATATATATATATATATATATATATATATGTATCGGATGTGGTTCAAATGAGAACAAAGTCTTAGTGTGAGAACTGCTATTTTTAATTGTGCGTAGTGCTATGATTGATTGTGTTTGGTGCTATTTTTAACCAGGATGAATTTTATTAAAAATAACAACACAATTTATATTAGTATGTGTACAATTTATATTAGCATTTGTGAAAATGATAGCATCATCTAATATTAAAAATAACATCATACACAATTAAAAATAGCATCATATGTGGTTATCATGGTTCTCGTACCAGGACTACTTTATTTATATGTGTGTGTGTGTATCCATCTTTACCTTACGTTGATTGTTGCTTATGAATCTTGAATTTGTAAGGCGTGTCAATATTTGAGCTTCTGAATGAGATATTGGAATCAATGAAGAAAGAATCAGGAAGTCCGTTTATTGCTTCTTTGACTGCTGATATTCATGTCCTTCCCGATTTTCATGGAAACAGGTGAATACACGAGACTTTGCCGGCATTTTTCTTTTCCTTTTTTAATAATTTTCAGTATTTTATTGAGCTTTCTAATTTTTTATTTTTTCTTTTAGTATAGATCTCCCATTGCAGACCCAATATCGAAAGGGGTGATAAGTGGCTTAACTCTTGATGCAAGCGAAAAACAGCTGGCGCTTTTGTACCTTGCCACATTACAGGGTATAGCGTACGGGACGAGGCATATTGTCGAGCATTGCAATGCCCACGGACACAAAGTAATGAAGCTCATGCGATTAATTTTAATCTTTTACATGTATTTTGTTCGATAATGTGCGTAAGTTTTAA